ATACCGTGAATTCACTTAACTAGACTGGGGGCGACTCAATTAACCCTCCTCGCTTAGCAATGAGAATTGCTGGGGTCATATGCGAAAGGCTATCTGTATTTAGTGTTTTCACTATTTCTGGATTGCTCTCCAATCATATTGCAAAGGCGGGTTATAAAACCAGCCATAGTTTCATTCCATTCAGCAGGGGTCTTCAAACTTGGCCCTTTGATGACTGGTGGACTTCAACTCCCAGAATTCCTCAGCCAGGCACGCTGGCTGAGGAATTCTGGGAGTTGAAGTCCACCAGTCATCTAAGGGCCAAGTTTGAAGACCCCTGCCATACAGCATTAACCTTGTGAACTGTCAAGCTTCCTCCTTCCGTTATATATTCAAGATGGACAGTATTTAATATTTGTTGTGTCTATGTAGGAGTGTGGGTCTGTACATATGTTGTATATCGTATATTTAGGTTTGTGTCGTGTATGTTTCACTTCGAGAGCGGGCAACTAAATTTCATTTTTGATGTGTGCCGTTGTGCCCACAATAAAAAAACGACAATAAAGGTATATTAATTCTCTCCCAGAGAAGAGACAGTACAAGGGCCTATTTGAACATTACAGAGAAATAGATGGAGACCATCCAGCCCATTCAAGAGATGGGCCAAGTAAGCCATTGCATGTGAGGGGAAAAAAAACCACTAAATCCAAGTAATTTTAGAACATAGAATAGGGTTATGTGGGATCTTAAGAGGTCTTCTAGTCCAACCCCCTGCTCAAGGTAGGAGACCTTATACCATTCTAGACAAATTGCTGTTCGGTATTTCCTTAAAAACCTCCAGTGATGGAACACCCACAACTCCAGGAGGCAAGCCTTCCACTGAGTCGTTGTTCTGCCAAGGAATTCCTCCTTAGTTCTAGGCTGGATCTCACCTTGATCAGTTTCCGTCTATTACTTCTCGTTTCATTGTTTAGTTTATTGTTCTATTATTTTCTGTTCTGTTCACACTTTTGTGCTTTGGAGATGAAGTCCATCCCCTCTTCTCTGAGACAGCTCCCCCCCCCCCAAGTACTGGAAGACCACTATCACCTCATCCCTAGTCCTTCTGTTTTGTTAGACCAGACATACCTCGTTTTCTCAATTGTCCATCGTACGTTTTAGCCTCCAGATCCTCCATCATGTTTGTTGCTCTTCTTTGCACTTTCTAGAGTCTGAACCTGTTTTTTTTTTTTTTTGTATTGTGGCGACCAGAAATGCATGCAGCATTTCAAGACTTTTTTGAAAGTTGTCTTGCTATTGAAGGAGCTTCTATTTTAATCACTGCTTAAGTGATGCATGGACCATGACTTCCTACACTCATTTGCCAGTATTACCTATCCACGGTGCTTGGAGGTGTGGGAAAAAGAGCTTATTGTTTTTACAGAACTGTAAGAAGACATGCTAGCCTGTGAAGAAAATATATTGTATATATTTCTAATCTTATGAGTCTGGCTGAAGTTTGAGAATTGTACGTAGGAAGGCCTCCGCTATGCTAAAAACCAGGTTTTAACCAGAATTTGCTGACCTGATAGTTACTTTAGAGACAACCCCCTAGGAACTAGTAGCCATAAAAGGTAATTTGTAAATAAGGGCGGGGGGGGGGGGGCGACAGAATTTGAGTAATGGGAGATGTAATCAGGGGCAGAGATAATGTATTCACTTAGGCACTTCGGATAGGTTGTGATGGCAAAGATGGGAGGTGAATTTGCAATGGCAATAGGAAATATAAAGAAAGGATATTAATGATTTAAGGTGTGTCCACTATACCTGTGTGTAGGTGACACATCCTCTTTGCACAGTAGTACAAATAAATTACCACTGTTTTCTCTTGGAAGTTTTGGCTGGGGATTGTTTATTCAAACTAGACAACGAATCCCACAGGTGACTTTCAAGCTTGCCTCGGTCATCCATACCTGCTGTCGGGCGAGGCCCGATACCCACCTGCTTTGGGGGAAAAGCTGCCAATCATCTGGCTTCTAGAATCTCTGCATCCTTATGACTTCATCAACCCAGGCTCTCTGAAGGCACCTCTTGTGGGATCCACCTTCTCCAGGAAGGGCCTTCTTCCCCACAGCTCCTCTAAGACTAAGGAGGACCCGGCTGCCCAAAATGCCGCAAATGGGCTCCTGGAAAGACCCTTTCCTAACGGTCACCTTCCCAAGCAAGGTCATCTTTATCATTGGCTCTTGGCTTCTGTTCGTCATCCACATGGGAGTGTTCGTCGGGGACCTCTACCACTTCCTGGTCTCTCAAAGAGGAGATCTCATGAGCTTCCGCTTCACTGTATCGCTGCTGGTAAAGGATCTTCTTCCTTCCCCTCTTCTGCAGCCCATCCATCCCACAGAGGAGAACGTGAGGCAAGGGGGATAGATAACCTCTAGCTGGGGTGCCAGAAAGAACAGGCCAGAGAAAAGAGACCCATTGCAGCCATCCATTGTCCGAGCATTGGTGCACCACAGCTCCTTAAGTCTTCTAGACAACTGCCTCAAAGATGCTTCCCACCACTTATCCTTGTGAATCCCTCTAGAGCAGACATGTCAAACACAAGGCCCAGGGGCCGGATGCGGCCCACAAAGTGGTTTCATGTGGCCCGTGAAGCCATCCTGGAAACAGTGAGGGAACGGCCCCCGCTGCCTTGACCCTGGCCCAGGCCAGCCGGGAGCCAATGTACAATTTTGTGGTGGCCATCTATGCTGAAACGCATTCAGTCTTAGCTCCACAAGGCCATCTGGAAATGGCTTGGTGCCACAGGTGCTCAAGGGCCAGGCTAGGCATTTGACCTCTGCTGCCCAGGGCTCTGGGCACCCCGCGCCACCATCCAGCCCCCCACGCATGGCCTGAGAGGAACAGTTAGGCTCCTCCAGTGGACCATACCTTGGCACCTGCCCTGGTCCCAGCCCCTTCTGCCAGAGACCCTCAGATCTGTCCCACTCCTGCCCAGGCCCCCACAGGCACCCTTGACACAAACGATGTAGAGCTGGCCATGCCCACCCAGTAGGCCGTATTCGCCCTGGCCACCCCCCCCCCCCGAGGGCAACCACAATGCTGATACGGCCCTCAATGAAATTGAGTTTGACACCCCTGCTCTAGAGTAGGGATGAGCTGGTGAGTCTTCACTAAAGAAAGTCCTCGACTTATGGCCACAACTGAGCACAAAGTTACCATTGGTAATCGAGGCAGCTATCACGCGAGCTTTGCCCCATTTTACAACCTTTCTGGCTAGAGTTGATAAGTGAAGCACTGCATGCATTTAAGTTAGTGACACGGTTGTGAAGTGAATCCGGCTTCCCTCTTGACTTGGCTTGTCAGGTCGCAAAAGGGGATCACGTGACCCCCGGGGACACTGCCATTGTCATAAATGTGAGTCAGTTGCCAAATGTCTGAATTTTGATCACGTGACCATGGGGAATGCTGCAACGGTCGTAGGTGTGAAAACGGTCGTCACATTTTTTCAATGCCGGCATAACTTCAAATGTTGCGGACTTCCTGTACCTTCCTGTACAGGCGTAACACTCAAAAAGATGAAAAATAAATCTTAGCTCCTTCTGGGTCTTTTAAACTACACCTCCCATGTTCCCCAAACCTATCAATGAGGGTGGGAGCAGTTAGAAGGAGAGCTTGAGACTGGTGTCTTGTTCCAAGGATAACCCATTCTGTCTCTCTAAGATGGTTTTAGATTCATGGGCAACACATGTTAGGAATGTGTCAGTCATTTGTCTGAAATGGCCTCCTGCTTGAGCAGGGGGCTGGACTGGAAGACCTCCAAGGCCCCTTCTGACTCTGTCGTTCTGAATGAGGTTACCCTTCCCGATTCAGGCTTCCTGCCATGTGACAGCATGTAACGGAAACCAGCCCATGACACAAAACTAGGATTAGTTTCGGCACCCCGTGTTAGGTGAATGCAACTGATTTTGTTCATCCGGGACATGGACGAAGTGGGTTGTGGGAATCCAGCCAGTCGGGGGCCAGTGTTGCTGGAATGAATCGCCAAACTGCCGTTGTGAGATGAGTGGCAAATCAATTTGATCGATCGATCGATCGATAGGCAGAAAATTTATCTACATCCCATCCTGCTTTTTTCTGAGTGGCAATTTCGTTTGAGAGTTGGGCTGGAAGGTTGCAACGAAGAAGATCTAGGCAAGGTGTTAAGTAACTTTTGGGGTAAAGGCACAAATGGGATTTTCAGAACGTGGTGGTGGGCACGTTCACAAAATGGCCAGCGTTTCTCAGAAGGCAAACTCCTCTCCCACCATGCCCTTTGCCATTCCTGAAGGCCCTTGGGGAGGGGAACCCAAGTCATTCCTGTAAATCAGGGGTCTCCAACCGTGGCGATTTTAAGACTTTGTGGGACTTCAACTCCCAGAATTCCTCAGCAAGCCATGCTGGTTGAAGAATTCTGGGAGTTGAAGTCCACAAGTCTTAGAGTTGCCAAGTTGGAGAGCCCTACTGTGAATTGACAGGTGTGAGAGGTTACCATTTCTGAGGGGTAGCATACTATCTTCCTACTGTCTTAAAAAAATTAAAATATTTTTAAAACACTGAAGAAGGTAGGACAAAAACTCTGCTCTTTGCAACGGGAGACCATTCATTTTTTTCTCCCTTCTTCTTTGGGTTTCTGACAGTTCTCCCATGTGATCAGCTTTTATTTGGCCCTCCTAGCCAGCATCTACACCTTGCAAGCAGATGATGGCTTCCTGACGTGCTTAGCCCTGACCTCCTTTGGTAAGAGAATGATGATGATGGTGATGATGGTGATGATGATGATGATGAGGAGGAGGAGGAGGAGGAAGAGGAGGAGGAGAACTGTGAATTCCTAGGGCAACAAGTCAGCTTCTTTTAGCTATGGTTTAGTTTCCAATCCCTCTACCATCTAGGCCAGTGTTTCCTAATCTTGGCAACTTTAGAAGTCTGGCCTTCAACTCCCAGAATTCCCCAGGTGGCATACTTTAAATGTTGTGGCCTTCAACTCCCAGAATTCTCCAGCCAGCAGTACTGGTTGAGGCATTCTGGGAACTGAAGTCCACACTTCTTAAAGTTGTCAAGGTTGCAAAGCACTGATCTACATTATTATTATTATTTTTTCCTGCTGCAACCAATTTTCCAAGTTCCAAATTCTGAGAGTTGACGTCCACAGGTTGTAAATAGGCGATAGTTGCCCAACCTGGTCTAGTGGTTAAGGCACCAGGATGGAAAGCAGGAGATGGCGAGTACTAGTCCCTCCTGAGGCCCAAAATCCAGCTGGTGACTTTGGGCCAATCGCCAGGAGACGGCGAATTCTAGCCCTGCCTTATGCAGGAAAGCCAGCATGGGTGATTTTGGGCCAGTACCTCGGTTTCAGCCCAATCCACTTCACAAGATTGGTTGTGGGGAATCACCAGGTGACTGTGAGTTCTAGTCCTGCCTTAGACATGAAAGCCAGCTGGGTGACCTTGGGTCAATCACCAGGAGACAGTGAGTTCTAGTCCTGCTTTAGCCATAAAAGCTGGCTGGGTGACTTTGGGCCAATCACCAGGAGACAGTGAGTTCTAGTCCTGTCTTAGGCACGAAAACCAGTTGGGTGACTTTGGGCCAGTCCGTCTTTCAGCCCAGCCCACCTCACAGGGTAGTTGTTGAAGGGGAAATAGCAGGTGGATATGTTCACGGCCTTGAGTTATTTGTCGAAATAAAAGTGGGATATAAATGAAGGCATGGATAAATGAATAAACAAACCCTTTCCTTTTCATCCAGTCTTGAATTTAGCTCTGTATATTGCCCGATTCTGGATGGACTATCTCACTATTGATTACAGGGAAGAAAAATACGAATGATCAAAAGGAGCCAGGCACGAGAAGAGCCGGTCCCTCTGAAGGAGCAACAAAGGAGTAACCACCACCCCTTAGGATCAGCCAAGAGAGTTTAATGGAGTATTAACAAATGTCTCTATTGCTTCAGTGTGCCACAGCTTTGCACTCTCTCCGCCCTACATCCAAAGTACACGGAGGCAAAGAAATAAACCTTGCAGATCGTTTACCGTCGTTCCACCAGCCCAAACCTCTCCTGCAAAGGATGGTGGATAGGGGGGTCTTGCCTCCCCTGTCTCGATTGGACCTCTGGGACGAGAGAAGCCTTTTCTCCACCAGGTGCCCCCCCCTCCTCCAAAATGGACCTGGACCATCGCTTTCAGTAAAGCTGTCGGCCCACCAAATCTGCAAAGACCAGAGAAAGGGGGAAAAGGTGGTTCTGGAGAAGACAAGGTTGCTGGCCCCCCCATCCTGCCCCCAAGAAAGTAAAGTTTGAACAGAGTGGAGATGTAGTCAGAGGGGAACCTGGAAGGCAGAAGGTTATCTGGAACCAAGAGGGCAAGGAGAAGTGGGGCATAATATAAGGGGCCTTGCTCGGGCCTTCTTTTTTTTGATGTGTCCTGTCTGACTTGTTAAGTAAAGCAATTCATAAGCATGGAGGAACCGTCCACCGCTCATCTCCACAGCACTTCAACCACCTGCCAATCAAACCCTGGAGCTTTTCAACCACTGGGCTGCAGAGAAAGGCTGTGGATGCAGCCTTTGGTCCTACAGAAGGGCCCCCAAGCCCTAGAAAGACACACGTCGTGGGGCTCTCAAAAGACAACTGACTTTCCATATCCAGCAGGTAATTAGAGGGAAAGCAGCAGAGAGCAAACAGCAAACTAGCTGGGTTAAGGAAAAGGACTGAGGTGGGGGTGCAAACAGGTGTTGCTCCAGCCTAGACAGAGCTCTCTTCTTTTGGGTAATGGCGCTCTGGTGTCCCTCCAACCCAGGGCAGCTTGTGCACAAGCCTCAACATGGATTTAGGAGAGGAGGTCCTGTTACTTGACGTAGAAATCCTCAAACTTGGCCGCACTCTTTAGTAAGAATTGCTACGGGTTGGGTGAGCACAACGGTCTCCCAGTCAATCACTACAGTCTCAAACCACCTTTGAAGAAGGAAAACAAAGCAACGGGGAAAACGGATCAAGGAAAGACCCAGAGGACACTTCCTCTGCCGAGCACGAGTGGAACCCGGGGCGTGAGAAGAAAGACCGGGAACCTCTTTTGCCCACCCACCTATCGAGTTAGCAGCGAGAGAAGAAAACTAGAAGGGGGGGCCATTGTTCTCTTTAAAATTGCCAGTTCAATGCTGTCCCTTAACGGCCCACCAGGCCCTTTCTGCATAAAACTGCCCATCGGGGCAACAAAACGCATCAATTTGCAACTCCCATCGGACTGGGGGGAGGGGGGGAGGAGGAAGAGAAAGAGATGGACCATCTTTTAACTGGCATGCCTTCATCCAAGCTTCAAAGGGGTCCCAACAACCTTGTCTGTCCAGGCTGGGAAGCTCACGGGAGACCCACCCAGCAGATGCAACCCCAGGCCTCCCTCTGGGGTGCAATTTTGCCAAGGAGCTGCCACGAGCCGAGAGTGGGGTACGGGGCCACCTGACAAAGGAGAGGCCAGCCCTACTCGCTACTGTCCCACTCGGATGTGAGGGTTGAACTTGGGGTCCAGGCTCGGGTCGTTGTCCGCCGAGGCCCGGCCGAGTTTCATCATGATGATGACGAGCGTCAGGAAGCCGATCCCGCCGATCAGGAGGAAGATGACAAACCTCTGCATTAAAGAGCGCGGCTGCTTTCGGGTGCCAAAGCGGTTCCTGCCGGCAGAAGGAAACAGAAGATTAAGCTGCTCTCCCCCCACTTTGGGGATGTGAATTGGATTTTGCCTGCTGGGAGAGCTTTCAAACGGTTGGCTGGCTCGCCGTGAGATCCCACAAGCCGGATCCTGCGCCAAGGAGCAGACCTTCTAAGGGGCGGGGGAAAGGAATGAGGAAGCTGCCAGGAGAGAATCCGGAATAATCAAGAGAGCAGAACCAAAAGTATCCCCAGGTTCCGCCAGATCGGAACTGTAATTACAACCGGCTTGGAATCCCACCTGGGCTCTTTCAAAAGGCAACTGGACTTTCCTGGGTTTTTTTTCTCTCTCCTTGGAAAATATTTCGCTTCTCATCCAAGAAGCTGCTTCAGTTCCGGATGAGAAGCGGAACGTTTTTCAAGGAGGCAAATCCAAGAAAGCCCAGTTGCCTTTGGCACCACCATGACCTGGAGGATGGAGCGTCTCCACAGACACGCAACCTGCGTGGAAGCGAGGCAGAGTCTGGCGACGCACTTCGGAAGAGAGCGGCCCGTTTTTCGAGCTCGTGAACAGCTCACAACAACCAAGGGGACCTCTTTGAGGAAATTAGGCCTTCCACTTCATTTTGTGACCTGCCTCCCGTGTGGCCTCCCGTCGCTCTTGGCCCCTTCTCCAGCCTCTGCTGCTCTCTACCGCAGGCAACTCTCGGGACAGCCGGTTCCCAAACCGACAAGCCGTTGTTTCCCGGGACTCACTTGAGCAGCTGGGCGAGCCAGCTGAGCGTCGGCCTCCGCCGGTATTTGTCCTCGTCAAAGTCGATGGTGGCGCTCGAGTCCTGGCCAACCCCGGCTTCCCGGGTGTCGTAAATTTTCCGCGACGAGGAGGCTGCAGGCAAAGACAAGAGAAGAGCTAGGGGAAAGTAGCCACCCTTTCTTGCCCCCCCTCCCCCCAAAAAAACTCTCATAGTTTTGCCCGAGAAATTCTGTATAATCGATTATAGGAAACCAAGTAAGAACAGTGTAGTGGTATCATGTAAACTCGACCTTCGGAATCATGATGGTATAAGGAAAAGAAAAGAAAAAAAAAAAAGGTCTGGGAAATCAAACTGCAGACTGGACAATCCTCCCCCTTATGCAAACTGGCCATGATGCTTAACATTCTTCTTCCTGGCCCTTCTGTAGGATATTGACAAGCAAGCAGCAGCACAGAGCCATTTTATGCCTTGTTCACCTTCCTCTTTATTTTAGGAGCTTTTTTTCCCCCTGTATCCCCAGAGAAATTACAAACAGAGGTGGAAAAAAAAAACCCCAAAGTCTTTATGAACTTGTATTCAGATTTTTTTCCCCCACTTGAGTCTAAAAGGAATTCCTTAGGGTTCCGCGTGATAAAGAATGAAGAATTTATCCAATACTTCATCAAATAAAGGCACTCCAGATTCTAAGCAAGGATAATCCAAAGATCAAACGTCGGCAGGAAATGCTGACTTTCATTGGGACTGCCGAAGGGGATACTGCTACAAGCCAGGTGACAACACCTCCACCCCCCCACCCAAAAAAAATCAATTTATCTCCCTCCCTCCTTCCAATACTGCCAACCTGCATTGATGGTGAGAAGGTCTCTACCCCCATCACCCATGCTGACAATTGTGTGCTGGTCCGCAACATTGCCGTTCTTCAGGTTTTGCTGCTGCTGTTGCGGGGACTCAAAGTTGCCACTTGCACTGTAGGCAAAAGCGGACGCCGAACTCTGTGGGGCAGCTTCTTCTGAATTTAGGCCTGGGAAGAGAGAAAGAGAGGAAGAACAGCCCGGGCTCCAGTGAGAAGTGGGGTTTCTGAAATGCTTAGCATTTAGCTCTGCTGTCAGGTGTTGAGTTTTCTGGGAATTATAGGACTATGTGCATTTTTGTAGGCTGCTCAGCACTGAGGAGGTAGCACATACATAAATCAATGTATGGATCAATAAAGGAAGATATAACCTAGCCTGACTGTGGCTGAATTTAGGTACTAGATTGTGCACACACGGGTGCCTGCCGCTCAAGCACCATGGAGCTGCGTGCGTCTGCTGCTTGCGCGGCCCGGTTCCAAACCGGTTGCAGCCCAGTAACTGGGCTGTGGCCCATGGGTTGAGGACTCCTGTGCTAGAGTGACTGTTTTCACAACATGCTAAGCAGGATGAGTTGTAATCACACAGACTCGGGGGGTGGGGTGGGGGACTTAAGAGGCTGTGCAAGCCTTTGATTCATTTATGATTCAATGTGCAATGAGAAGCATTCGGGGAATAATTCATTTACCAATTAAGTGCACTATAAAAAAAATGGGGGGGGGGGCTTGGAGGCATTTAAAGTACAAGGATGTTTGCTTTTTTTCTCAAGTAAGATTGGCCAGAGACATGAAAGGGGATTTTTTTTTTTGCTTATAAGAAAGATGGGTGAGAAACAACCTGATGAACAGAATAATCCTCTCCCACGTATTTTGAAACCCAGATGCTTCTAAGGCACAAAATATGGATGGCCAGTCTCCACTTAAATGGAATTTGAGGCTTGTGCTCTTGATGGAATTAGCAATAGCAACAGCATTTAGACTTATATACCGCTTCACAGTGCTTTACAGCCCTCTCTAAGCAGTTTACAGAGTCAGCATATTGCTTCCTCCCAACAATCTAGGTCCTCATTTTATCAACCTCAGGATAGGACACTGAGTCAACCATGAGCCAGTGGGACTCGAACTGCCGAAAGCCGGCGATAGGCAGAAGTACTGCATTTTAACCACTGTGCCACCACAGCTCAGTGATACACCAGGGATAGGTAGTAGCTTCTACCAGAAAACTCAAAGAGATCTCCAGTGCCAAGAACATGATGACATGGTCCCCATCTAGCTTTTCACACTGTTTCTCCACCTTAGTAATTTTTAAGATGAATGGACTTCAGCCCCCAATATTCCCTAGGCAGCTAAGCTGACTGGAGAATTCTGGGAATTGAAGTCCTCTCATTTTAAAAATGGCTAAGGTGGAGAAATCCTCTCCTGAGCTCAGATGCTCACCTGTGAAACTGGACCAGTCGCTGCAGTCTGAGGCACTGTGAGTATCCATCTCTTGAGTCACCTCCGCTTCATCAATCTGAGCAGAAAAAATAAACAAAAAAAAGCCCAAATCAAGGTTAATGATCTAGTGGGATCTGGAGAGAAAGAAAGTCCAAGTGAAGGGTGCTTTGATTTGACTCTTAGAGACATCCTGGATATGTTTTTCTTTTGTTTATAAAATTAATTGGACACCCATCTTACCATAAAGTAACCCTGGGCGACTTACAGACATAAAAATACATCTACATTAAAACAAGAGAAGTTAAAACCAAGGCTTAAAATCCTAATCCTAAAAGTTTATGTTGTTTTCTAGGCAGAAATCCAAATTTTCCCAGCTGCTTCCTTCAATTTATTTTATGGGTTTTAACTTCCTAGTCTAGTTTATAGTCCTGGTGTTTTCCTCATGGGAAGCATTACTAATCTGGCCTGAATCTGCTGTCCAAGGGTCAGCCTGGTCTGGGTTTTGGAGACCCGTTGAATAAAGGGAAAAATGTAACACTTAAAAAGCTGGCTTTGTTCTTCTTGCTCCAACGCTGGTCCAGGTGGTCCTCGACTTATGATTACAATTGAGCCCAATTTCTGTTGCTAAGCAAGGCCGTTGTTAAGCGAGTTTTGTCCCATTTCATAACCTTTTCTGCCAGAGTTGTTAAGCAAATCACTACAGAATCAAGTGGTTGTTAAGTGAATCTGGCTTCCCCCATTGACTTTGCTTGTCAGAAGGTCACAAAAGGGGATCACGTGCCCAGGGACACTGTGACCGTCACAAATACGAATCAGTTGCCTGAATTCTGATCACATGACCACGGGGATGCTGCAAGGGTCGTAAGTGCGAAAAACGATCATAAGTCGCTTTTTTAAAGTGCTGTTGTAACTTCGAACAGCCACTAAATGGATGGTTGTAAGTCGAGGACTACCTGTATCGTTGTTAGGTGTTAATTCTTTGCAGATGTTCTAACTTTTTCTGTTTGATGTAAGCAGCTGAGAATCATAACAATATGAATATAACAATAGCCATAGCACTTAGACTTATATACTGGGGGTCCCCAGCCCTCGATCCATGGACCAGTACCGGGCCGTGACATGCCAGCAACCGGGCCGCACAAACAAGCAGAGCCCCATCCGCGAGATGCAGGCAGCACACACAACCACGCACCCTCCGGTTCATGGAAAAACCTCTCTCCATGGAACTGGTTCCTAGTGCCCAAAAGGTTAGGGACCTCTGCTTATATATCACTTCACAGTGCTTTATGGTCCCCTCTGAGCGGTTTACAGAGTCAGCCTGTTGCCCCCAACTATCTGGGCCCTCATTTTACCGACCTCGGAAGGATGGAAGGCTGAGTCAACCTTGAGCTGGTCAAGATCGAACTCCTGACAGTGGGCAGAGTTAGCCTGAAATATTGCATTCTAACAGGAAGGAAGGAAGGAAGGAAGGAAGGAAGGAAGGAAGGAAGGAAGGAAGGAAGGAAGGAAGGAAGGAAGGAAGGGCCTGAAGGCAGGACAAGAAGCAACGGATGGAAACTAACCAAGGAGAGAAGCAACCTAGAACTAAGGAGAAACTTCCTGACAGTTAGAACAATTAACCACTGGAACAACCTGACTCCAGAAGCGGTGAATGCTCCAACACTGGAAGTTTTTAAGAAGAGACTGGACAGCCATTTGTCTGAAATGGTATAGGGTTACCTGCCTGAGCAGGGGGGTTGGACTAGATGACCTCCAAGGTCCCTTCCAACTTTACTATTATTATTAAGTAAGTAAGTAAGTAAGTAAGTAAGGAAGGAAGGAAGGAAGGAAGGAAGGAAGGAAGGAAGGAAGGAAGGAAGGAAGGAAGGAAGGAAGGAAGGAAGGAAGGAAAATGGCAATAGCACTTAGACTTATAAACCGTTTCAGTGTGCTTTATAGCCCTCTCTAGGCGGTTTACAGACTCAGCTTCTTGCCCCCAAAAATCTGGGTCCTCATTTTACCGACCTTGGAAGGACGGAAGGCTGAGTCAATATTGAGCTGGTCAGGATCAAACTGCTGGCAATGGGTAGAGTTAGCCTGCAATGCTGCATTCTTAACCACTGTGCCACCATGGCATGAATCGCATAGCATAGCAATAGCACTTAGACTTACATACCGCTTCACAGGGCTTTACAACCCTCTCCAAGAAGTTTACAGAATCAGCCTATTGCCCCCCCCAGCCCCAACAATCTGGGTCCTCATTTTACTGGCCTCAGAAGGCTGAGTCAACCTTCAGCCAGTCAGGTTCGAACTGCTGACAATGTGAGCAGAGTTAGCCTGCAATGCTGCATTGTAACCACTGCACCACTGCGGCTCATAATGGAACAGGGACACAGTCTGCCTTCCAAACCAAAGCTAGATAGCCGTTACATACCCAAGGTGATTTAGTGCATGCTTGTACTGAAGGGGGCTGGCCTATATGGCATCTAAGGTCCCTATGAACAATTGAATTATCTGTGAAAGGTCCCCCCCCAAACCTCTCTTTTAAAGTAACATGGTGCCTGAACTAGGACTGAAGCTACCAAATAATTATAAGGAGAGATTTAAAAAAAAAAAACCAGCTTTTTTTTTAATGGACAAAATCAAATTTTGGAAACCCTGGTCTCAAATCCAAATCTCTGCCCTCAACAGATGTCCACCCATCACTATTACGGAGGCGCTCAATTGCTGAAAAAAAAAAAAACCCAATCTGGATTCCTTTCAAAGCGGATTAAAGGTTTAACTTGACTTGGGTGCTGTCAAAATTGCCCATGAAGCAGCTCAAAGATGGCCAGATTAGTTTCTTACCAGGGGAAGCCTGAGTCCGGCCCGAGCCCAGTTGACCGTCGAGAGCTTCTCTCGGAGGGCGGACGCAACTGGACTGACCAAGTTGGTGGGAGGGAAGACGGGACCCTGGCAAGAGGGACATTGGTAGCCGGCGGGGGCCGTGTTCTGGGGCAGCTGGTTGGCCATCTCATTGAGGCAGGACCAGTGAAAGAGATCTAGAAGGAAGAGGCACCATTAAAGCAAAGTTCTGTCTTGAAGGCGCTGCGCAAAGAGGCCACGCGTCTACGGAGATGCTCGATCATCCAGGTCATGGTGCTTATTGAAAAGGCAACTGGACTTTCTTGGTTTTTCTTCTAATGACCAACTCTCAGAGTGCTAATGACCGGATGGCTCCAAAGAATATAAATCCTTCTACTCCCCACCATTCAGTCAGAACTGAAGAAGCTTCTTGGATGAAAAGCGAAACGTTTTCAAGGAAAAACCAAAGAAAGTCTAGCTGCCTTTTGGAAAGTCTAGCTGCCTTTGGGACAACCATGACCTGGATGACTGAGAATCTCCTTGACTTCATGGCTCCGCTTAATAGCTGTCTATGGAGATGACAGTAAAATCAAGTAAAATCACGGGAATTACAATCAAGCCTTGGATAATGAAAATCCACTGGGCCCTTTATAGCTTGGAAACGGGGACACATTTCTGCCAGTCTCCTAAAGCAAGGGTCTCCAAACTTGTTAACTTTGAAGACTTGCAGACTTCAACACCCAGAATTCCTCAGCCAGCCTGGCTGAGGAATTCTGGGAGTTGAAGTTCGCAAGTCTTCAAAGTCGCCAAGTTGGGAGACTCCTGTCCTAAAGGGTGGGAGAGGAGAGCCCCAATGTATCCCCTGTCCCAGATAGCGTTTTGGGGAGCCACAGAAGGGGAAGCCTGTCTGGCACAATGCCCAGAGAGTTTCTACTGACCATAACACACAAGCCGAACCGTCTCTTTATTGGAAAGAAGCACGTTACACAACCGGCAGTTGGGATTGTAATCGCTGTCTTGAAGCCACTGCAGGTACGACTGGACGATGCACTGGAAAAAAAAAACAGAAAAAAAAACCAATTGGTGCCAAGGGGATCAGGTGGAAATTGGAGGGGGAAGCCTGTTTATTTCATAGGATCCGAGGGCTGGAAAGGACCTCGGAGGTCTTCTAGTCTACCCCCCTGCTGAAGAAGAAGAAGATGATGATGATAGTAGTAGTAGTAGTAATAGTAATAGAGTTGGAAGGGACCTTGGAGGTCATCTAGTCCAACCCCCTGCTCAGGCAGGAAACCCTATACCATTTCGGACAAATGGCTGTCCAGTCTCTTCTTAAAAACTTCCAGTGTTGGAGCAGTCACCACTTCTGGAGGCAAGCAGTTCCACTGGTTAATTGTTCTCACTGTCAGGAAATTCCTCCTTAGTTCTAGGTTGCTTCTCTCCTTGATTAGTTTCCACCCATTGCTTCTTGTCCTGCCCTCTGGTGCTTTGGAGAATAACTTGACTCCCTCTTCTTTGTGGCAGCCCCTCAAATACTGGAAGACTGCTATCATGTCCCCCCTGGTCCTTCTCTTCATTAAACTAGACATACCCAATTCCAGCAGCCTTTCCTTATATGTTTTAGCCTTCAGCCCCCTGTTCACCTTTGTTGCTCTTCTCTGAACTCTTTCTAGAGCCTATACCATTTCATAGAAATGGTTGTCCAATCTCTTCTTAAAAACCTCCACTGATGGAGCACCCACAATTTCCAGAGGCAAGCCATTTCACTGATTAATGAATACCATATACAAAATTGCTAAGACAACCCTAGAGAGAAAAAAACCACGGTAGAATGAATCTTGTCAACTGCTGACCAGAGAAGTTAGCACACAAGGGGAGGAAATCAGGGTGGGAAGGCTTAGGGCAGGGGTAGGCAACCTTGGCTCTTTTATGACTCATGGACTTCAACTCCCAGAATTCCTGAGCAGCTATGCTGTCTCAGGAATTCTGGGAGTTGAAGTCCATGAGTCATAAAAGAGCCAAGGTTGCCTACCCCTGGCTTAGGGGTTTCAGGAAAAAAGCCCAGCTTAGCTACATAATGGATCCAGAGATCAAGGTGAAATGACATATTCCAATCTCAGATAGCCCTCAACTTACCTTCGCAACTGAGCCCAAAATTTCTCTTGCTAAGTGAAATATTTGTTAAGTGAGTTTTGCCCCATCTTACGACCTTCCTTGCCACAGTGGTTAAGTGAATCACTGCAGTTGTTAAGTTAGCAACACAGTTATTGAGTCTGGCTTCCCGATTGACTTTGCTGGTCAGAAGTTCCCACAAGGGGATCACAAAAGTGACTGTCATAAATACGAGTCAGTTGCCAAGTGTCTGAATTTTGATCACGTGACCAAGGGGATGCTGCAACAGTCGGAAGTGAGAAAAACAGTCGTGTCAGCTTTTTCAGTGCCGTTGCAACTGTGAATGGTCACTCAATGAACTGTTGTAAAAAGGGGACTACTTGTAGAATCCTGGGCATCCTTACTAAGGGGAACTGGCCCTAGAAAAAGAGGCTGGAAGGGACAATCTTAGGACTGTGGACTGACAGCAAGTCAGTGCAACATGCGTACACACAACCTATGACCTTCACTAAGTGGAGGCTGTGTCTGCCTGAAATCTCCCAAACTCTTGGGTTTTTTTTGTTTTTTTTTAGTGTGGCAGAAAAGTCAAATTACTTGCATGCAGAGAGGTGATCACTGACTAGATCCAATTAGGGGTGACAGGATAGCATCTTCCAGTACTTGAGGGGCTGTCACAGAGAAGAGGGGATTGACTTCGTCTCCAAAGCATCAGAGGGCAGGACGAGAAGTAACGGGTGGAAGTTTGTTCAAAGTGATTCAACCTAGAACTAAGAAGGAATTTCCTGACAGTGAGAACAATCAACCAGTAGAACAGCTGGCCTTCCAAAGCTGTGGGTGCTCCAACACAGGAGGTTTTCAAGAAGAGACTGGACAGTCATTTGTCTGAAATGGTACTATATAGGGTATAGGGGGTCGGACTAGAAGAATCCCCATATATAAGTAAACAAATATTAATATCTCTAACTCCACAAAGTATATTATTCTACATGAGTAGGTGAAGTATATATATAAAAAAAGAAAATTTTTTCTAAAAACCTAAATTATATTCCACCACTCCATGCTTCTTTTGAATATAAACAATCCATCTTCTCCATATTAATAAAAATATTATCCTGGGATTAGGTTTGGGAAGTCCGGGGGGGTGGTGTTTTTTTTTTCTTCATATAGCATTGTGTAGTATTTGTGGGAAAAAAAAATTTATGATGAAAAATAATAAAATTTTATATTGAAAAAAAAAAAAGAAGAATCCCCATAAACTCTCAATTTCAAAGCATTCAATTTACCTTCGCATGGTTAGCAACAATGCAGTTCTCGCAGACGTTCACCCGATGCTCAAAACAGAACAGGTTTGTGACTTTCCTCTTGGGACATTTGCAGAGCCCCATCGTGGTCAGCGCAGGGGTGGCTTGAGCCGAGAAGAGCTGGAGAAAGAAGAGGACATGGGCAGAGGGATTACCTACACTGCTTAGCCATGGCTCGTCTGCGCTTCCCCGAGCACATTCGCAGTTCCAAGATTTTCCTCGGAAAAATCAAAGCAAACCGGAGAATACTCAGAGCACAACGTGTCTGCATGCCAGGTGTCCAGCTAGCAAATGCAAGAAAGGAATTCCTGGGACATTCTTCTTCCCCAAATTAACACTTTTATTGAATACACTACATTAGTACAAAAGAAGCAAAACCAGCTCTGAATTTCCCGCTCACATATTCACAAAATTAAACTTGAATTCCCCCTTTGGCCGTCCTCTTCGGTCCGTTGCAATGTCCTATCTCATACAGGTAGTCCTCGACTTATGACCACAATGGTGCCCAACATTTCTGTCATTGAGACACTTGTTAAGTGAATTTTGCTCTGCACTCGTTAAATGGCCAAGGTAGGAAAAAGCCCATCCCCACCAAGCCTGTTATTTGCATCATTTATGCATTTTACAGCATTTGTCAGGCCCTTGAAAGATACCGATTGTGATGTTTATTTATTTTGCATTTATTCATTGAGGAAAAAATAGATGGCTACCTAATTCGAACAAGGAGATTCTGGGTGGGTTGCAATAAAGCAAAAGCAGTTTAGCCTCACCCACAAAAGAAAAGGACAATTAAGACAAAGAGAAAGGGGAGAAAAAAGGGGAAAGAACAAGCTCAAATATCAATTCTTAAAATGATAGTTCAAATTAGGACCCAACTAGCACGAAAGAAACCCTGACAATACCTGTGGGGTCCATGGTGCTCTCTGAGCTTGGGGGTTTCCTTGCAGATGTTTCATTACCCAACTAGGGAACATCATCAGTGTAGAAGGGAGTGAAGTTTGCTCTCTGTTTATATGCAAGCGGTGGTGGGAGTGTTCTTGGTGATTCCTAGACTAAGCTATTGTTTAGTATTTGTTTGCCTGAGTGGGTAGTCCCTTAATTGAAACTTCATTTACTGCTTGATTGTCAGAGAGCAAACTTCACTCTTTTCAAGCATTGATGATGTTCCCTAGTTGGGTCATGAAACGTCTGGAAAAAAACCACCAAGCTCAGAAAGCACCAAGGATCCCACAGTCCTTTTCCTTCTTCTCCTCTTGCAAGCCCCACTCCCTTCTAGTACTGATGATGTTCCCTAGTTGGGTAATGAAACATCTGCAAGAAAACAAGCAAGGTCAGGGAGTGCCAAGGACCCCACAGTCCTCCTCCTCCTCCTCCTCCTCCTCCTCCTCCTCCTTCCCCCAAACCCCACTGCCTTCAAGTGCTAAAGATGTTACCTAGTTGGATCATGAAACATTTGCAAGCGAAGAACCAAGCTCAGAGAGCACCAAGTACCCCACAGTCCTCTCCTCCTCTCCACAAACCCCACTCCCTTTTAGCTCTGATGATGTTACCTAGTTGGGTTACGAAACGTATGCAAGAAAACCACCAAGCTCAGAGGGTACCAAAGACCCCAAAATTGCCCGCCCCCGCTTCCTTGCAAACTCCACACCTTTCTGGCACTGATGATGTTGCTTAGTGGGGTAATGAAATAGCTGAAAGAAAAACACCAAGCTCAGGGAGCACCCAGGACCCCACAGTCCTCCTCCTCCTCCTCTCCACAAACTCCACTCCCTTCTAGCTCTGATGATGTTACCTAGATGGGTCATGAAACATCTGCAAGAAAACCACCAAGCTCAGAAAGTGCCAAGGATCCTACAGTCCTTCCCCCCTACTCCTCTTCCACCACCACAAACCCCCCTCCCTTCTAGCACTGAGGATGTACCCTAGTTAGGTGATGAAACCTCTGCAAGAAACAGCCAAGTTCAGAGAGCACCAGGGACCCCACAGTCCTCCTTCTCTTCTCCACAAACCCCCTTCTCCCCTTCTAGCATTGAAGATGTTACCTAGTTGGGTCATGAAACGTCTGGAAGAAATCCACCAAGCACTGAAGGCACCAAAGACCCCCCAGTCCTCCTCCTCTCCACAACCCCCTCCCTTCTAGCACAGATGATGTTACCTGGTAGGGTCATGAAACGTCTCTAAGAAAATCACAAAAGCTCAGAGGGCACAAAGGACCCCCCCAGAAGCCCTCATCACCCGAAAGGGCTGCTCAGTGACCGATGAGCCTCCAAAACCTGCCCGCCGTAACTCCGAAGCAAGCTTGATCTAATAATTCGACTCCCCGGCAATCCTCCCCGGGGCTGCAATCGGGGCGTCCTCCGAACGGAGCCCAACCCCATGATCCCCATCCCTCCTGGCCATCAAAGCCCATCGCTTCCTCCCCCCCCCCCAAAGGCCCCGGGGTCACGTGATCATATTCCCGGCCCCCTCCGGACCAACGAGGGAGCGGACCTTCCCCCGCAGCCCCGGGGGACGTGCCGCCCTACCTGCCTCCCTTCGCGAGGGGCGGCCCCCGCGCCAGTACGGAGCGTCCGAGCGTCGCCGGAGCAGCCCAGCCGCCGCTCGCTCTCTCCGGCCGGGGCCGGTCCGCGGGCGAGGGGCGACACCCACCTGTCTCCCCCGCCTCCCTCCGGCCCGCTGCCACGTCTCTTCCGGGAACGTCGCGTTCTGATTGCGTCACGCCGACCTCTCTCTCTCTCTCTCTTTCTCTCTCTCACTCCCCCCGCCTTCTCTCCCAAGATGGCGCCGGTCGCCGGTCGCGCTTCCGGCGGACGGCCCGACGTCACTTCCGGCGAGGCTCTGGCGGGCGATTTCAACGGCGCAGCGAAGCGGTTCGGAGGAGGCGGCGGCCGCCATGGCGGGAAGCCGCCCCGGGAGGCGGGCGCGCTCGGCGGGGGAGGCCCGGGAAGGTGAGGGAGGTGTGCGGGGGGCCCTCTCGGAGCAGGCCGGGGCTGGGGACGGGGCTCCTCTGCCTGGCCTGCAAAGCGCTCCTGCGGCGCCCGGGCTCGGCTGGGCCCGTCGCAGCCCGGCCCCTTTCGCCAGGGGAGGAGGGAGGCCGCGCGGCTCCGGTAGTCCCTGAGAGGGTGGCTGCCGACCCTGATGCCTGGCTTAGCGCCTTTGTTTATGTTTTATATCCCGCCTTTATTCACTGTTATTATATCCCGCCCTTATTCATCATCATCATTATTATTATTATTATTATTATTATTATTATTATTATTATATACCGCTTTATTTATTTTTATTATATCCCGTCTTTATTCATTATTATTATATTCCACCGTTATTATTATATCCTGCCTTTTTATTATTATACACTGCTTTTATTTATTTGTATTATATCCCATCTTTATTCATTATTATATTCCACCTTTATTATTATTATAATACCTCACCATTACTATCATTATTATTATTTACAGTTTTTATTTATTTTTATTATATCCCGCCTTTATTCATTATTATTATATCCTGCCTTTATTACTGTGGTTCGTCGCACAGTGAGCCAGATGTTCAGACTGGATTTGGCATTTTTATCCACCTATCACGTCCTTTCCAAGGACCTGGGAGAGGCAGAGGTGGATGTTTGATAGAATTATTTATTTACAGGTAGTCCTCGATTTACAACAGTTTAAGAAGAGACTGGACAGCCATTTGTCCGAAATGGTATAGGGTTTCCTGCCTGAGCAGGGGGTTGGACTAGATGACCTCCAAGGTCCCTTCCAACTTTATCATTATTATTATTATTATTACAATGGCACTGGAAAAGGTGACTTATGACCGTTTTTCAGCGTTACAGTGTCCCCCTGGTCACATGATCAAAATTCAGACTCTTGGCAACTGACTTGTATTTATGGCGGTTGCCGTGTCCCGGGGTCACGTGATCAGCTTTTGCAGCCTTCTGACAAGCAAAGTCAATGGGGAAGCCAGATTCACTTAACAACCGTGTTGCTAATTTAACAACTGGAATGATTCACTTAACAACTGAGGCAAGAAAGTTCGTAAAGTGGAGCAAAACTCACTTAACAAATGTCTCACTTAACTGAAACTTTGAGCTCAATTACGGTTGTAAGTCGAGGATTACCTGTACTAATCTAACAGCTGCAGTGATTCACTTAACAGCTGTGGCCATAAAAGTCATAAAATGGGGCAAAACCCATTTAATAAATGTCTCACTTAGCAACAGACATTTTGGCTCAGTTGTGGTTGTAAGTTGAGGACTGCTTGTATTGGACATCCATCTTGCCACAGGGTCACTCTGGGCAGCTTACAATCATATAAGTAAAAAATTGTATGTACTAAAAACATAAATATAAATACAAACCCTACGGTCCAACTGATGGGGTGGGTGGGAGCAGAGCCAGGTCTTTAGCTCTTATGGAAGGTCAGGACAGTTGGAGGTGACCTTACTCAAGTGGGTGTGTGTGTAAGTGTTCCAAAATGACATTATCTCGTCTTCGTTGTCATTATACAATTGGATCGTATGAGAATCCAGCCAAATGAGGTTTGGTAGGATTGGGGGTGTGGGTGAATCCAGATCTCATGGTTTATGGTGGCTTAAAGTAAGGTATGGTCAAGGGTTGATATGTTGAAGTATGATACACAAATAAATACATTTTGGGAATGCAGAAAGAAAAGGAGCATTCTAAATAACTCTTCCAGAGAATGTCTATGGAGATTCTCAATTATCCAGGTCCCGGTTGTCCCAAAGATGCTTTTTCAGGAGGCAACTGGACTTTCCTGTTTTTCTTTGAAGACGTTTCGCTTCTCATCCAAGAAGCTTCTTCAGCTCTGACTGGATGGTGGGGAATGGAAGGATTTATACTCCTTGCAGACAGCTGGTATAAATCCTTTCATTCCCCACCATTCAGACAAAAAGAAAGGGGAAAGAGCAAGCTCAACCATCAATTCTTAAAATGATAGTTCCAATTAGGGCCCTATTAGCATGAAACGTCTTCAGAGAAAAACAAGAAAGTCCAGTTGCCTCCTGAAAAAGCATCTTTGGGATTACCAGGACCTGGATGACTGAGAATCTCCATAGACATTCTCTGGAAGAGTTATTTAGAATGCTCCTTTTCTTTCTGCATTCCCAACATTTATTTATTTGTGTAAATTAGCTCTGATATATAAATATATAAATCCTTCCATTCCTCACCATTCATTTAACTTCAAAGAACTTCCAGGCATTGTTTATCCTAAAAAGCCTTTATTACAGTGTAACAGAGTGTCGGCACAGCATGGATGGATGCCAAGATCTGAATTTCCCTTCCTTTGCACATAACATTCCAGGTTATTCCCCATCCCTATTTTGCTGTCATGATTCCCATTTTCCAATCAACCTGGAGGGCAACGATTCACTTCAGTTCCCTTCCCGGGCAGTCCTTATCTTTCTCCCCCCCCCCCAATCATCTGAATTAACTCTAAAAAATACCAGACAGTTCTGCATATCTTGTCAAAGCAATAATATCCAATATTAGCAGTGTTGACATCTCGCTTAGCAACAGAAATGTTGGACTCAGTTTTGGCCGTAAGTCGAGGTCTACCTGTATAGGATGCCCTGGCTTGTAGCATGACTATATTTTTAAATGAAAACATTCACTGAGTGTGGACTTCATGGTTTTTCTTAACGTTTTTAATCAGCCCCTTTTATCCTTTCTTTCCCCCAGGTGCTGCTTCCTCTCCCCCCAGGCGAAGGTCCGAGAGGAACTTGCCTTCCTCAACTCATCCAGTGTTCCAGGACAACCCCAGGGGGGTGGCCAGGAAAATGATGGGCAGCCCGGTACGAGAAAAGCATTGTTGTGTTCTTTCCTTTATTCTTTGTGAATTTAAAATTCTGCTTGAGTTGTGATGCATTGAGTAAGCCATTCAGCCTTACAACCATTCATTTAGTAGTCACAAGAGTCAGTGAAAAAAGTGACGTATAATTGTTTTTCATGCTGCGACCGTTGTAGCATCCCCATGGTCACGTGATTAAAATCCAGATGCTTGGCAACGGACTCGTATTTGTGATGGTTGCAGTGTCCCGGGGTCACCTGATCCCCTTTTGCAACCTTCTGACAAGCCAGGTTGATGGGGAAGCCAGATTCACTTAATAATCATGACCCTAATTCAGGGGTCTGCAACCTTAAACACTCAAAGAGCCACTTGGACCCGTTTCCCAGAGAAAAGAAAACACTGGGAGCTGCAAAACGTGTGCACGCACAGGCGCGCGTGTGCACCCGAGGGGCGGGGAGCTTATTTGAAGAGTTTAATTAAAAACAAATAGAGGCTGCTGTGCATGAGTTCTCTCTCTTCCCCCCTCTCTCGTTCCTCTCCCTCTCTCTTTTTTTCTCTCCCCCTCTCTCTTCCTCTCTCTCTCCCCCCCTCTTTCTCTCTCTCCCTCTCTCTTTCCTCTCCCTCTCTGTCTCCCTCTTTCTCTCTCTCTCTCCGATCTTCTGCTTACCTGGCAAGCTGGCTTCACGCTGTTCTCCAACAAGTAGACACACATTATTGGGCTGGCTCTCTCCTGCCCTTCCTGCTTCCTGCGGAGATACAGCAAATGGAGGAGCCCCCCCCCACACACACACAGAGAGAGAGAGAGAGAGAGAAAGAGAGAGAGAGAGAGAAAGACAGAGAGAGAGAGAAAGACAGAGAGAGAGAAAGACAGAGAGAGAAAGAGAGAGAGCGAGAGAGAGAGAGAGAGAGAAGGGAAGTGCAAGTGCCTCTCTCTGTCTTTGTCTCTCTCTCTGCAAATGGCAGAGGAGGCTGGGAGCCACAGGAGAAGGCTCAAAGAGCCTCATCCGGCTCCGAAGCCGCGGGTGCCAACCCGTAGCCTAACTTAATAACTGCAGTGATTCACTTAAGAACTGTGGCAAGAAAGGTTGTAAAATGGGGCAAAACTCACTTAACAACTGTCTCAGCAACAGAAATTTTGGGCTCAATTATGGTTGTAAGTAGAGGATTTACCTATATTTGAGGTAGGAGTGATGTTCAGGTTCCCTCAAAGAATGTGATGTACTTTAGAGACAGGAATCTCAGATTCTGTGTCTTCAACAGAAAAATTCTCTCCCAGCTGCATTTTTCTTTGCCACCCGCCTGAATCTTTTTCCCCTCTTCTCTGCAGTGCCCAGCTGCCCCTGTCGTGCGCACGATAACTCTGAGAAAGATTAAGCCACGGAATCAGCAGGTGAGTAGTTGTTATGAAGCTGTGTATACACATTCCATCTTTCTGTGATTTTTTAAAAAAATAAATGTTATTGAAGTTTATCCGAATAAAAGATACAAATGAAAAGAAAGACAGTAGGAAAGGTGGGAGAGAAACAGAAGGGGAAAGAAGATGTGAAGGAAAATGAAAAGAAAAAAAAATCCAATGGCCTCCAACTTTTTTCGCTGCAGTAATTTACACTGTGACTTTTTACTTTGATATAATTAATAATTACTAGCCATTTCTACAACAGCACGCTAAATCAGTGGTTCTCAACCTGTGGGTCGGGACCCCATTTGGGGTCGATCGACCATTTCACGGGGGTCGCCAAGCAAGGCTGTCCGCCATTTTTTTTGTCCGCCATTTTTTTTGTCTGCCATTTTTTCCCCCCTTTTCCGGCGGGTGCCTTACCTCCCTTGGGCTGGGCCAGCTGGTGGTCGGCCTGCTCCGTCTCTGCCGCTTGCCAGCTACGCCTCGGCCGGCGCAGGGGGTGGAACCACGCATGCGCGGCGCTCCCGGGCAGGGAAAGTCCTCGACTTACGACCAGTTGGGTAGTCCTCGACTTACGACCGGTTGAGTAGTCCTCGACTTACGACCGGTTTAGTCCTCGACTTATGACCGGTTTAGTCCTCGACTTACGATCGGTTGGGGTCGCGGCATTAAAAAGGTTGAGAACCACTGCGCTAAATCATCAAAACCCAAAGTCAATGTTTCATTTTATTCTGTTTCAAGTAAAAGTCTAGAAGCGGTTTCCAAATAGGAACAAAACTGGATATATTGTTTTCGTTAATTAAGACAGTGATGCCAGTTCCATCACTATGGGAATTGAACCATCTTTCCTCCTCCTCCTCCTCCTTATTATTATTCTCATTATTATTCTTATTATTCTTATTTCGTATGAGTAACAGAATCTAGCAATAATGGATAAAAATTCACCAACTCAGTATATAAAATGTGTATCAAAATATAAGACATCAGAGCAGCGAACCATTTTTTAAAAAAGCAGCATGAGTGATGAATAAAATTATAAATAAAATTAAATCATGATCTTATGCCAAATTAACTACGTATTACATTTTTTCCCCCTCTACTGCTCCCCAGGATAAGGTGAAAGGAAGTGATTTAGTCCCTCGTCGGAGTCCAAGGGTAAGCACGGAGCCACAGCAATTTTTGAGAATTAAAAGAACGCCTTTCAGCAAGATCTGGAACCTTTAAGAAGCCTGGCCTTCCCAAAGATGGCTGGGGAATTCTGGGAATTGGAAGTCTGACACATCTGGAGCAGCGGTCCCCAACCCTTTTGGTACAAGGGACCGGTTTTGTGGAAGACAATCTTCCCACGGACTGGGAGGGGGAACTTAGATCCCTTGCATGCGTAGTTTATAGTAGGGTTTGCGCTCCTGAAAGAATCTAATGCCTGATGATCTGAGGTGGAACTGAGACAGTGATGCTAACACTGGAGGCCAGCTGCAAATATGGATGAAGCTTTTCTCGCTCACCCCTCACCTCCAGCTGTGCGGCCCAGTTTGTAACAGGCCAAGGCCTGGGGAGTGGGGACCCCTGATCTAGAGACTTCCAGATCAGGGGAGGTTAATGAGAGAGCATAGAATTAATGATGCTGTAAGTGATTAGCATCTTTGATTTTCTCTTTGGCTTGAATTCCCCAACAGAGGAATGCCCTGGAGTGCCATCGTATTAATACCCTTTAGAGTCTCTACCCCGTCAAGTTTTAACGTATATTAATTTAGGTAGTCCTCAACGTATGACCACAATTGAGCCCAAAATTAAGTGAGACATTTGTTAAGGGAGTTTTGCCCCGTTTTACAACCTATATTTATTTGTTACGTATATTTAGGGGTGTGGGTCTATACATATGTTGTATATAGTATGTTTAGGTGTGTGTCAGGTATGTGTTTCACTTTGAGAGCGGGCAACTAAATTTCATTTTTGATGTGTGCCGTGCCCACAGTAAAAAAAATGACAATAAAGGTTATCTTACCTTATATTTGTTAAGTGAATCATTGTAGTTGTTAAGTTAGTAACTTGGTTGTTAAGTGAATTTGGCTTCCCCACTGACCTTGCCGGTCAGAAGGTCACAAGGGGATCACGTGACCCAGGACACTGCAACCGTCGTAAGTATGAGTCAGTTGCCAAGCATCTGAATTTGGATCCCGGAACCATGGGGATGCTACAAAGGTAAGTGTGAAAAACAGTCATAAATATTTTTTTTCAATGCTGTTGTAATTTGAACGGTCACTAAATGAACTGTTGTAAATCGAGGACTACCTGTAAATGGGAAATGAAGTCCTGTCTTTACTTCCAGAATTCCTTTGAAAGTCACACAGGTGTCAGAGGCACTTTTACAAAATTAACATGATGGGCGCCTGCATTCTGCGTCTTTGTTTGGAGAGAGGTCCACTTTCACAGAATAAAAGAAAACAGCATAAATTGCTCTAAATATCACTGCCAGCATGCCAAGTGGTTGGAGAGCCTCTCCTTTGAGGTGGGAGGAAGGAAGGTGATCAGGAAATATCTTTCTCATAATGGGAAATTAGTCGAGGTGTAGGCAACCTTGGCTCTTTTATGACTCGTGGACTTCAATTCCCAGAATTCCTGAGCCAGCTTGGCTGGCTCAGGAATTCTGGGAGTTGAAGTCCACGAGTCATAAAAGAGCCAAGGTTGCCTACCCCTGGACTAGGAGTAGTCCTCGTCCTACCCGTTCATTTAGTGACAGTTCGAACTTACAACATCCCTGAAAAAGGTGACTTACGACTGTTTTTCACACTTACAACCATTGCAGCATGCCCATGGTCATGTGATCAAAATTTGGACGCTTGGCAGCCGACTCATATTTATGACGGTTGCAGTGTCCTGGGGTCATGTGATCCCCTTTTGCGACCTCCTGACAAGCAGTCAATGGAGAAACTAGATTTACTTAACAACTGTGTTTCCAATGTAACACCTGCAGTGATTTACTTAACAACTGTGGCAAGAAAGGTCATAAAATGGAGGTAAAACTTACTTAACAACTGTCTCGCTTAGCAACAGAAATTCTGGGCTCAATTGTGGTCATAAGTTGAGGACTACCTGTAGTTTACAATTTCATAAAATCTTATTTCTCCTTCATATCCGAGAAGCATTTTCGGAGGGCTTTGCGATATGCAGACTGATCCATGGTCAGTCAAAAGGGGGAATCAGATAAATCCTGTTGAAGCATTTGGAATAGGATAGGACAGAACAGAACAGGTTTTTAAGAATAGACAGTCACTTGTCTGAAATGGTATAGATTTTCCTGCTTGAGCAGGGGGCTGGACTAGAAGACCTCCAAGGTCCCTTCTAGCTCCTATTCTATTCTATTCTATTCTAATTTTCTATTCCATTCCATTATCTGCTATTCTATTCTGATGTATGCTAGTGAGACCTGGACAGTGTACAGGAGGCACGTCGGGCAACTGAATTACTTCCACATGACTTGCCTTCGCAGAATTCTGAGGATCCGGTGGCAGGATAAGATACCAGATACAGCTGTCCTCTCCAGAGCAGGCCTATCATCAGTTTACACTCTGTTGATGAAAGCCCAGATGTGCTGGGCAGGCCACGTTGTAAGGATGCCAGACCATCGCATCCCTAAACAGCTCTTCTAGGGTGAGCTGTCTCAAGGAAAGCGATCGCACGGGGGACAAAAGAAGCGATACAAAGACACGCTGAAAGCATCTCTCAAGTCCCTGGATATCGACACCATCTCTTGGGAATTTTTGGCGCATGATCGACCGACATGGCGTACCCTGGTTTACCAGGGTTGCCAGACATATGAACACAGGAGGACAATCTTGGCACAAGAGA